CCCCAAAACCCCAAAACCCCAAAACCCCAAAACCCCAAAACCCCTAATGAATAATTTGAATAAATTGAAAGCATTAAATCAATAAATTATAATTTTTGAAATTAATGCTATAAGCTAAAGAAATCAAAATATTCAACAATCAGCAATAAAAACACATTGTAATGCCTCAACTATAAATGAACATATCTCCCAACCTCTCACTATCTGATAATTCTCAAATATCCTAGCAAAGGTCATTTCATGAGTAAATGAATAATGATGCAGATTCCAAGGATTCTAATACTACAGATCTCTTGAAGGAATTCGAAGCTCTTAACAAGAACTATAATCAAGCTGGTAGCAATTGAGCATAGTAGTAATAGCAAAATGTTAATCAAAATATCAGCTTAGATTAGCAGCAGAACTTCTAAAATCCTCAAACAAGATCATCATAGGTCTAGCAATAATAGCAACCTATAAATTACTAGTAGTAAGCTGCTTGGATTGATGGGTAATTTGATTAGCTGACAGTTCAGAAAATGACATTAAGAGCTAAAATATTTAGTCCAGATTTGATTGAAAGCATCGAGGAGGATTAAAGTGACGAAGAAGCGAATGAATAATTAATGCATAAGAGGTAATCTGTAATTTTACCTTAGAATCGATCTAGCAACACAAAAAGTTGAGATGATGAGCAATAAATGAGGCAATAAACTGAAAGAATAAGAAAACTATATGATAGAGGCCAAGGAAGCCATAGTACTTAAAAATCAAATATCAATATTCACGAAGAGAGAAAAGTACTATTAAGAAATTTTGATGAGGAGATTCTGGATGATGCCTACAAGAAAGAGCTTAGATAATTTTTTGGCCAGACTTCAGAATAATCCCCTAACAAATTAAGATAGAAACGATAAAACTCAAGTAATTTTCTTGGTTCATCGAGTATACTTGGGCACCCTCAGTGCACACCATTTAGTTCAATAATTGAAGACTTAAATGAGATAGTTTCAAATAATAACTTAAGTGTATCACAATTTGAAAATCTCTCCCCTGATCAGTAGCAAAACATTATTCTAGCAAATTAAAAAGACAAATTAGAGAGATTACAGAAGCCTGGTATTAAATCTTGGCTTCATGATAAATATTAGACCTAGATATACAAGAAAAACTTGCATGAATTCGATCTATTTTTAGTTTAGAATATAAGGGCTCACTCTGACAGCGTTTGGGTAGCTAAATTCAGTCCAGATGGGTTATATCTTGCAACTGGAGGAAAAGATGCAGTACTCAAAATTTGGTAGGTGAATTAAGTTCCTTCTGAATTAAAGTTTTCTAATGAAAATCCTAAAGAGTTTACAAAGTAGATTGGAGATTGCTACAGATTATTTGATGATAAACCATTTAGAGAATTTAGAGAGCATGAATATGACATCTTAGATATTGCCTGGTGTAAAAATAAAGCTAATCTGCTCTTGACATGCAGCTTTGATTGTAAGGTGATATTATGGGATCTATAGAAAGAAAGGCACATTGAGATATTTGAGCACTAAGACGTTCCAACTAAGGTAGCTTTCAATCCAGATCTTGATAATCTTTTTGTAACAGGGTCTCTCGATAAGACTCTCAGATTATGGAATATTGACTAAAAATTGAAGCCATTAGATACATAGCAGACTTAAGATCACATCACAGCATTATGCTTCTCAAACGAAGGAGAAAGGCTAGTTGCTGGACTTGCAACTGGCTAATGTGTAATATACTCCTGTGATCTACTTGGAAGAATAAATTACATCACTAGAATAGACTGTAAGAATAGAAGAGGTAAATTTTCAGCTGGGCGTAAGATCTCTGGTGTATAGTTTTTGAGTAAGAATGAAATACTTATTGCAACAAATGATTCGAGACTAAGATTATTTAATCTCGAAGATTGCATCCAGAAGTATAAATACAAAGGTCATAAAAATGAGAATCTTCAGATTGAGCCATCATTATCAGAAAATTAAGAACATATTATGATGGGAAGTGAAGATGGATATATCTATATTTGGAACAGAGTTAATGATCATATTCCAGTTATCAATGCTCGTATAACCTAAAATGTCATTAAAAACAACAGGGTAAAATCATTTGAAAGTTTCTTACCCTTTGACGACATAAAAATACTTGCTCCTACTACAGTTTTCGCACCTAATGAAACATTGAAGATCTAATAAGCAAAACATCAAAAGATTCAATAAGCGAATCTGAGTAGTTCAATCAAAGCTATAATAGTAGCTTGTAGTACAGATGGAAGATTAAGAGTTTTTATTGATGAAAAATTAGATGGTCAAATCAAAGAAGAGGACTAAGAGGAAGATCTTTAAGATTATCAAAGCCGCGAGGGTTCTCCAATTATAAGTTAAGATGATTCCGACTCTGACGACTCTAAGTCATCACCAGAGACAAACCAGAATAAAAACATTAAGAAACTGGATATAAATAAACTGTGAATACTCTCATAAGCTGAATTATAATTGATTTAATCTTGATTTCATAATCCTCAGTGAGAATGTGATTTTACTTATGGGGTTTTGGGGTTTTGGGGTTTTGGGG